TGTAGAGTAGGGACAAGCATTGTCCCACAAGTGGTGGTTTTACTTCTGGGTGAATGGCCTCTAGTGAGCTAAGAAAAGGTTGTTTTCTTGATTTTAGGGAATCAAACCTCAACTTCCTAGGGGTAGGAACAGCTCCAACATTTTTCTAACTCTAAGCAGTCCAGCACCCTATTGTTACATAAGAAATTACTCCCACAGTTAGCAACTTAAGAGCCCCTTTATTTTGCTTATGATTTTGTGGGGTGGGATTTCACCAAGGGTTTGGCTGGGTGGTTCTTGCTTGGGGTCAGAGGACAGAGGCGATGGTTGTTGTCACATGTTGGCTGAGACTGCAGTTATCTGAAGGCCCATCTGGGCTGGAGGTCTCAGATGGGGCAGTTATGTGGCTGGCAACGGATACTGGCTGCCTACAGAGAGCTTCAGTTGGGCTTGACACTAGAGCACCGACACATGGCCCCTCTGGGTTATATGAGCTTCTCACAGCATAATGGCTGGGCTCCAAGAGTGTGTGTCCTAAGAGGAGGCATCTGGAGGGCTGGCCATCTCCTTAGAGGCTGCAAAGTTCCGACCTAGCCTTGGAAGTCACCTGGTGTCATTTATACTACATTCAAGTTGTTGCAAGCAAGTTACTAAGGCCAATCCAGATCGAAGGGGATGGGAATTGTAACCATGTTTAATTCACCACAATTCCCATTTCCACACTGAATAGTCAGGTGGTATTTTACTTGCCCTGGGAGCAGAGGCATAAGACTATATGGGACTTTTCATATGCCCAGGAACCCTTTCTTGTGCTCCATTGATCTGCTCTCTTGAGTTCTCACCAAGGAAGGGCCACAGCAGAGCTCTGTTTGGGGCCCAGGTATTGGAGGCCAGAGCATTCACTGTGGAAGAAAGATGCTCAGAAATGGCCTCTGCATCCACATTTAGCTTTTATACTCGAGTTGTATTTTGAAAGTCGAAAATCACTTTAAATGAAGCCAGAGGTATCAAGGGCATGAATTAAACTTTACAGCACTCTGCTCTGCTTGTCAGAGCTACATATCAAAATCCAGCAGCAAAGCGGGACGAAAAGATGGAGCTTAAATGAAGTAGACTGTAAGGTCCACATTACTCATCATCATTCTAATATTGCCTACTACTGTTGAAAGTTTCCTTCATTAACATGTGCTTTGCTGCTTCTTAAAATAGCTCCATAACCAAACGCTGCAATTCTGAAAAGCATGATAAAAAAGGTTCTCTGATCATGCTCATTACTGAATATTTTTAGCAGAGCAATAATTAGGATGTGGAGGAAGCCGGGTGCCTCATTATATCAGCAGAGGCCTTGGCTTCTTTCAGAGACCTACCTCTCAACCAGCCAAAGCAAATCTCTCCCCAAGGCCAACTTGCAGTTACTCCGCCACAGAGACCTCACCCTGTGGCTTCAAAGAAAGGGTGTGCTCATGTCACCAGTGTCTAAGTGATTTGCTAAAGTCCATTAAAAGCTAGAGAATCTTAACATTTCAGCAGGCAGGGGTAGAGTGAAATATGTCTGTTGAAAGATGGGACATACTTCCCACCAGAAGGCTCCGTTACTCCCACCAAGGCGAGGCTGTTATTTCAGACGCACCCCCTGCCCCCCAGGCTTAGGACCAGAGTTCTCCACCCACCAAGGCACCCTGCATAGCTGGGTCACTTGGGTGCTGTTTATTATTTTTATCCTCACTCGAAGACATTTTTCCATTTTTTGTTCAGATAGAGTAGGAGGGAGACAGAAACATCGACATGAGAGAGACACATCGAGTGGCTGCCACCCACACGACCAACCAGGGCTGGGGACAAACTGCAACCGAGGTCTGCACCCTAGTGGGAATTGAACCTGGGTCTCTCTGGACCGCAGGCTGATGCTCTAGCCGCTGAGCCAAATCGGCCAGGGCAACTTGGGTGCTATTTATATCCATGCATTTAAATGTTCGCATCCTCTGCCTTCCATTTGGTTTTCTGGAACCCACCTTTTTAGAAGGCGCTAAAAGAAGTTTTTGGTCTACTGGTAACCCCAGCTCTGTCCTCTGAGCTACAGAATGTTAGAAACTGGATGCTTTGTCTCTCACATCAGCAGTGCCACCAGCTGCTGAGACTGTGAAGGTGCAGATGCTATCAGGACAAAGCTCCAAAGAAACACCCTAGAAGGGGCCAAAGACTAGAAAATTCACCTATGTTGATAGATACAGAGAAAACTGGATTTGGAAATGCACTTAGAGTTCGATATTCATCTAGTCATTCATCCAACAAACATTCCTATAGTGCCTGCTTGTCACCTGGTGCCAAGAATGTAGAAGAGAATGAGACACGAACAGTTCCTTCCCTCGTGTAGCTTATAGTCAAGTGGGGAAGGTAGTTATTGAGCAAGTTGTTCTATAAAAACCTTGGAATAGTTGAAGGAAAAGAACAGGTGGACCTTGGTAGGGAAATAACGAGCAGGAAGAGCCAGTCGGGGGTTGAGAGATTTCCTTGAGGAAGTGACACTAAAGGGGAAACCCAGTGGATGACCAAGAGTTAACCGGGTAGAGTGTGTTCGTGGCAGAGTGAGGAGAGGGGACCAACCCTTTCAGGACACTGAAGTTCAGTGTGGCTGGGCCAAGGCAGGGTCAGCCTGTTGCCCAGCACCAGAGAACACAATGAAAATGTGCCCTCTGCAGCCGTGCAGCACAGAGACTTGGCTTAGGGAGCGAAGGGGGTGGAGAGCATCTGAGCTGAGACTGGAGAGAAGCACAGGGAAGAGATAATGGAAGCTGCTACAGAGCCAGGTCAAGGATTTGAATCAAAATATAGAGGACAGCCTTGTCAGTGTGGCTCAGTGGTTGAGCATCTACCCGTGCACCAAGAGGTCACTGGTTCGATTCCTGGTCAGGGCACATGCCCAGGTTGTGGGCTCGATCCCCAGTGGGAGGCATGCAGGAGGCGGCCAATTGATATTATCTCTCATTGATGTTTTTTCTCCTTCTCCCTTCCTCTCTAAAAAGAAAGAAAAAAAATTTAAAAATACAGCCCTGGCCAGTTTGGCTCAGCGGTTAGAGCATCAGCCTGCGGTCCAGAGAGTCCCGGGTTCGGTTCCCGCTAAGGGCACGTACCTCGGTTGCAGTTTGTCCCCGGCTCTGGTTGGTTGTGCGGGTGGCAGCTACTTGATGTGTCCCTTTCACGTCAATGTTTCTCTCTCCCTCCCACTCTATCTGAACAAAAAGTGGAAAAATGCCCTCGGGTGAGGGTAAAAAAAATATAGAGAGGACAGTAGAAAGCCAATGAAGCATGTTGAGCAGGCATATGCCACATTTTGAAAGACTGCTCTGTGCTCTTGCTATGTGGAGAGTGAATTAAGGGGACAAAAAAATGTCATCACTGGAGACTGGTGTTGAGGCTCTTGCTATAATCTTTGAAAAATATGGTGTTAGTCTGGCCGGAGTGGCTCAGTGGTTGAGCATCGACCCATGCACCAAGAGGTCGCCGGTTTGATTCCCGGTCAGGGCACATGCCCAGGTTGTGGGCCTGATCCCCAGTGGGGGGCATGCAGGAGGCAGCCAGTTGATGTTCTCTCTCATTGATGTTTCCATCTCTCTCTCCCTCTCCCTTTCTCTCTCTATAATCAATAAAGAAAAAAAAATTTTTAATGAGAAAGATGGTGTTATATTGGTTTAGATGGAGAATGGAGACAAGTGGGTCAGTTGGGAAGACATTTACTAAGTAGGTTGGTAATTGGAAGGAGATTGGGTATAAGGAGTGAGGGACAAGGAAGTGGCATGATTGTGCCCAAGGTCACCTTGCCTAGTCGCCTCATTTCTCAGCTTTCGAGACTCGGGTTAAGTAACTTGCCTTCTGAGGCTTGAGAAACTTGCCCAAATCTCCAAACCAAGAACCCAGCACCCCTGTCCCCAGGCTCCATCCATCATGCCATCCTGTGCCTGAGATCTCTGACTGATCTCATTTGCCAACACAGCACAAACCAGATTCTGGTCTTTGATAACATTTGTGACTTCTTTTTAGGCCTGTATTGGTATACCCAAATATATCTGAGGACTTTAAGAAAGTCCTGTTGGAATTTGGCAGCCCCTTTTTTTCTTTTTAACTCAGTCTCATTCATTCTATTTTGTGTGTGTGTGTGTTAAAGCAAATTTATTAAAGGAGCAAAACAAGCAGTCTCACTTATTCTAAATGAAAAGGCCTTTAAGTGGCGAAATCACCATCCAGAGTGGAACAGTTGTAGGGAGATAAAACCATCTAGCACCCCCAGAGCATGTCTTCACATCAGAGACAACATAAATAGAACACTTTTTCTTCAGTATAATGTGACACAGACTTCCTTGGGGAAGAAAGGAAGTTGTCAGGATCCAACTAATTCATCGACTGAATTGTTATTCCTGCTCACTTACTCATTTAATTTGCATTTATTGAACGCCTTCCATATGCTAGACACAGGGGCACTGATCCTGGTGCTGTGGGTGCAAAAACAGTCAAGGCATAACCTACGCTTTAAGAATGTTCTCTTTCTACAAGGAGACAGGCATTTAAAATGCTTTTATTAATGGAAGATGTGCTACACAGCTGCAGAGGACACCATTCTCATTCTGTGTCCAAAATGTAGATTCTGCCTGGTGGTGTCGGGACAGACTTCCCAGAGGCAGAACCATGAAGCTGGATGCTGCAGGATGAGGAGGATGCTGTGGCTGATATGGGCAGGGAAGGAGGAATCAGGGCAGAAAGGAAGGGCTGGGTATCAGCAAACACCTGGAGGTGGGCGAGTGCACGGAGCATCCAGGGAACAGGTCCAGGATGATGAACACAGAGTTTACGGCAGAAAAGGAGCGTACAGAACTGAGCCTGGAAGAGTCAGCTGGGGCCAGATGTGAAAACCCCACCGACACACCCAAGAGCTGCAACTTTGCCCTGGAGAGGAGGATTAAAGAAGATGGGTCAACCATGTCCATCTTAATTTTTTTCTTGCTATTTCCTCTTCCCTATTTGAACAGGAATGTTCGTTCCTACGCAGAGAACGGAAGGCATCTCGACATCAGATATCATTACCAGAATTGTCCGAGACTATGATGTTTATGCTCGTCGCAACCTCCAGAGAGGGTACACGGCGAAGGAACTGAATGTCAGCTTTATAAATGTAAGTGTACCACCTCGTACCCTTTCAGGACCACCACATCACACCACTGCCACCGTTTATTGAGCCCTTAATATAGGCCACGAAGTGTTCTTGATGTTTTACATTTATCATCTCATTCAATCCACCTAACAACCCAATGATGTAGAAACCAATGTTCAAGGGGGTAACATAAGCCAACCAAGGCACACAAGTAGTGAGCTTCACGTTTTTTGTTTTTTGTTTTTAAGTTTTTTCCCCTTTATTGATTTTTAAATTTCTTTCTTTTATTGATTTTAGAGATACAGGAAGAGACAGGGAGAGAGAGAGAGAATCATCGATGAGAGAGAACATCGATGGGCCGCCTCCTGCACGCCCCACACTGGGGATCTGGCCCACAACCTGGGCATGTGTCCTGACCGGGAATCGAACCGGTGACCTCTTGGTGCATGGGTCGACGTTCAACAACTAAGCCACACCGGCTGGGCATGCTTCATGTTCTATAAAGGAACTGCCTCACCTCCCTCCCCTTGCTCCAACCTCCCTCTTTAGAGCTGTCAAATTTGGGTCAAGGGTTTCTGAGAGATCTTCCCTCATGAAAGGCAAGAGTTCTCTTCTGCTCAAAGGGCAGAGAGAAGGACAGAGGCAATGGAAAGCTAAACCCAGAGAAAATGCTTTCTTGTTCTTTTTAAATTGTTCATTTTACTAAGGCCTTACAGATGCTCACCAGATACCTTAACAGCTGTTTTTTAATTGTCCAGAGAAAGTACAGCTGCTTAAATAAAGCCTCAAGCCTTTGGCTTCCTTGGGTATTTCTGCCGTATTGTTCCCACAGGGCTGTTAGGTGAATAATAGAGCAACTGTTAAAACATTCTTTATTATTTTTTTTTTTTTTATCCTCACCCGAGGACATTTTTCCATTTTTTGTTCAGGTAGAGTGGGAGGGAGAGAGAGGAACAGAGAGAGAGAAACATCGATGTGAAGGGACACATCGAGTGGCTGCCACCCGCACGACCAACCAGGGCCGGGGACAAACTGCAACCGAGGTACGTGCCCTTAGCGGGAACCGAACCCGGGTCTCTCTGGACCGCAGGCTGACGCTCTAACCGCTGAGCCAAACCGGCCAGGGCAAAACATTCTTTAAAACAAGCAAAACAAGCTGCTAAAAAGCAAAGTGAGCCGTTCAGTTGCTGGAGGTGATGTTAGTGAGTCTGGACAACTGTATGTGCCTAGACTCTGAGGAGCCCATGTAGTTGATGAAGACAAGAACTCTCCATCCATTCAAAATTTCATGCCCCCCCAAAAACCAGTGCTATATTTTCAGAGAGATTTTTCTACACAACTAGATGCTTATAATTATGCACAGCCATAATTATCCAGCAGCTTACACAAATCAATCACTAGTACATTCACAATGAGGAGGGGCTCCTTAATGGTAAATCAGGGATTGGTAGTTGTTCTCATGAAGTGGGGGGTTTGGGGGTCCAGGCTCTGTGGCTTCATGCAAGCCGGACAACAAAATGAAAAATGTCAGGTTCAAGTGCTAAGTGATTTTTTGGTATCTCTTAGAGAATAAAGCCCTGGTCATTTCAATAAATTAAACCATTCTTTTTTTTTTAATCCTCACCCGAGGATATTATTTTTTCCCATTTATTTTCAGATAGAGTGTGAGGGAGAAAGGGAGAAAAGAGGGGTGGGGGGGAGAGAGAAACATCAACGTGAAAGGGACACATCTATTGGTCACATCCCACACAACCCTGACCAGGGCCGGGGACGAACCACAACCCAGGTAAGTGCCCTTGACCGGAATTGAACCTACGACTCTTTGGTCCATGGGCCAATGCTCTAACCAGTGAGCGAAACCGGCCAGGGCTAAACTGTTCTTTGAAACTGAATTCAGTCAGCCATCCAAGCATGTCGAGCCACTTCCAAAAGTTCTTGCTCTTGCTCACTCCATTTAAGCAGCCCTGGGAGAAGCCACTTAGCTCAGGGAACCGTGTAGTCAGCGTGGACACTCTCATGGCCTTTCTGTGACAACAAACCTGGCCGCAGCCCAGAGATGAAGTCAAATGTGTTGGATGTGCATAGAGATGAATCCCAGAACCTCAGAGGCGACAGGAACCTGCTCAGGGTCAGCCACCCAGTCCAAGTCCATCCATTTAGAAATGAGGAAAGCTGAGCTCAGAGGGGACCTGACCAAAGTCCCTCAAGCAAAGGAGAGGTGGAGGCTGCAGCAGCCTCCCAGCCTCTTGACTCCGGGTCCAGTGCTCATTCTCCTACTCCGTGCTGCCTCTGAGAGCTGTATATAACAACCACATAGTAAAAATAGCTTCAGAGGCAGCACATACAGCTCGCACTCCACCCTGAGGCTGCAGTCAAGTTTGGAAAGTCTAAATCAGGGAATCCTGACCCAGTTTTGCAATATTGCAGGTGCTTCAAGAAATTCTGAAATATGAAATGAACTGCAGTCCCAGGTAGTAAAGAAAAATGACAAATCTTACTGCCTGTTTAGGAGAAAATGTATTGTGATTTCATGGAGGGGAAGACCCTCTGTCTCATGTTATTTTCATACCACTCTCAACAGGTAACAGGATTAAATCCCTATGTGGCTTAATAGTAAAGGGAGTGACAACACACACTGAGCTTTTACTAAATGCCAGGCTGTGCCAAAGTACAGTCCATGCATTATCTTATCTAATTGTTACAGCAACCCTATAGGGTAGGGATGATAATTATCCCATTTCACAGATGAGAAAAATGATGTTTAAAGGCGACATGTGACTTGCCTAACATATGATGCCTTCCAGACACATAGACATTTGCACTGCTGCATGAAGATAAAAGAAAAACAAAATCCTAGTCAAGAGACGCCATCAGGATAAAAGGTCTCTTCACCACCAAGGAAATTGATGCAGTTCAATGAGCTTAATGGAAAATATCATTACAATGAAAATTTTAGTATAACACATGGATTCTAAGGCCCAGCAAATGACCCAGTTTTTCTTTTTAAATTTTTTTTTCTTTATTGATTTGAGAGAGAGAGGAAGGGAGAGGGAGAGATAGAAACATTGATGAGAGAGAACATCTATTGGCTGCCTCCTGCATGCCCCCCACTGGGGATCGGGCCCACAACCTGTGCATGTGCCCTGACCGGGAATCGAACTGGTGACCTCTTGGTGCATGGGTCGATGCTCAACCACTGAGCCACACTGGCCAGGCGACCCACTTTTTCAACCATACTGTTTTTAACAATGTCCAAGTAAAACAGAAGACTCAGGCAACCTCTAAGTGGCCATTCTATGTACAATTTATACTTTTGTCTAAGTCCCAGCAGAATTGAGGGGGTATATTTTCCCAGTATCTACTCATAATAAAGAGAAAATATATTTTTTTGGTTCTATAAATGAATTCAACTCAGATGTTTACAAGAAAGAGAATATTAAAACTACTTGTACTTCACTTTACATATCCAATAAGACTAATGACAAGTGCCTTTTCTAGTAAGAAATATACCTTCCTATCAACCCAGCTCTTGGGAAATAGTAACGTCCTGATTCTTCAGGTTAAGAACAAACACAAGTTGAAATAAAATATAACCATCAGTGTGAATGACTGATCTCTCTCACGCCCTCTCAGATAAATCCATTTTTTCCCTCCTTTAATTTTTGAACAGGAAAAGAAATACCGTTTTCAAAACCAGGTAGACAAGATGAAAGAGAAGGTTAAGACCGTGGAGGAGAGATCGAAGGAATTTGTTAACAGAGTGGAAGAAAAGAGTCATGATCTAATTCAGAAGTGGGAAGAAAAGTCAAGGGAATTCATTGGCAACTTCTTAGAACTGTTTGGGCCGGATGGAGCATGGGTATGTAATTCTTTTCCTTGGCCCCGCACTGACGGGTGTTTTCAGGGTATCCTCCTTTTCATGTAACCACTCCAGGGTGTCTCTCATCTCAGTCCAATATGTAGCCTCGACTTTGGGCATCAATCAGCCTGAGTGACTTCAAGTTCTTGTCACTTCCTTATTTAGCTCCTGCTTTACCCCTCAGTACGGTACCCACTAGTACCCAAAGCCAGCTCTGGTCTCTGTTTTGATTTCTTGTCCAGAGCTTGAAGCCATTTGGTGATCAATGAATGTTATTATTGTAGAGGTTGGTTCTGTAGTTCATCCCAGGCTCCCAGTTGGAGATGATGCAAAGCTTGGAAACAAGGGTGAACTGTGTCAGTGGCATCATGAAACTTGTGTTGTAAGACAAGGCTAAATGACTCTCGGATCAACCAGGGGAGGAGGATGCAAAAGAAACATGCTGCCTTGGTCAGCTTTTGTTGCCAGGAACTCTCCTTTTTCATTGGTTGGAACAGAGAGAAAAGGTAGGATTTCCCCTTGCATCCGTGTCCATCATGTCCTGGTTTTCCCTCGTTTTTCCAGGCCATGTATACATTGGCACTAGTGTCTTCAGGGACTGAGGCCACAATCTGAATCTTAAAACAGAGAGAGAATATCGAGGGTCCCTTGCCTAAATTCTACAGAACATTCTGAATGAAAACTATGGGAAGGGAAAAGAAAATTCTGGAAACCACCTTGTACTCCCTTTGGTATTTTCTATTGTGCATGCATTTCAAGAGTAAATAACCAGTATTGTCAGCAGAGTTAATGAGGGTTCTATGAAAGAGATACGTTTACAGCTAACTTTCCTTTTAAAACAAAAAGAAATGATTCCATTTAATTTCCCTGATTTTAAGTAGCCTAGATTTCTTATTATGACATGAGAAGTCTCTAACAAAATCCACTTCGGCTTAATTATTTTATTGATGGGTTGTCACTCCTGCCTCTCTGCTCATTTGAGCTGGTTCATTATAGGATTATCTAAAAGTAAAACACTCAATTAGTAATAGAAAAAGAACGTTTGAGAAGTTGGAAGAGATGCTTTGCTGAAAGCCTTGTGGCCTCTACGTGATTATACAGGTGGATATTGTGGGCCAACCATGTCCTGCTGACTGAGTCCGCTTGAACCCTTGTTCACTTCTAGAAAGAAGCCAAGGGCTGGATTCCTTCTCATTTTCGCTGAGCATGTTAAAATGTTTGCTCCGGTCAGTTTAATTCAGAGGACATTATTAACGTCCTTGTGTATGCACAGTGCTAGGGAAGAACATGAAGATCAAGTGCAGACCCTGTTCTCTGGTGCTACATGGTCTCTATAACAAAGCCTGAAGTTTCTTGTTCCTCTAGTGTGCAATTCAATAGTTCACATTTTCACAACTAATTGTCAGGCTCTGAAGAAACAGCTAGTGTTTTTTTTAACGAAACCATATAGGTATTCATTTGCTTATAGGGATTCAGAACTGTGTCTCTGCTGAGCAGCTCTGGTATTGTAACTCAGGGGGCGGGTGTTTTCTCCATCTGGAATGAGCAAAGGCAGGGAAGGAAAATAATTTCATAGAAACGTTGTAGACCCTTGTCGTTTCAGGCTCCCAGTGAAGGTGAAATAGCAGCTAGAATTGTTCTAGGGGGGTCTGGTGACAGCGAGCTGAGGTGATTTTTAAGAAATGAAACGCAGCTTAGAGACTGGAGGTTTTTCTTTTTAAAACTTGCTATTAGTGTCAAAACTGTTATTAACATTAATTTACCATATCAGCCAGACTTAGACATTACTTTTTTTCTGTTGACATTAAAAGTACAGGAATAGTTACAAGGATATTAAACGCCAAGATAAGTAATTTGCTTTTCATGAATATGCTATTATTATAATAATTCTTTATTTGTGGATTTGGGACTGAAGCTCATTTCTTAAAATAGAGGATCTGCATTATCTGAAAACACAGTACTGATACAAATAACCCAAACTTGAAAAGGCAGAAAATAGAAGGATTTAAGGTGCAAATTTTGGTATAACAGGATTGGTAGGAGGCATAGTATTTAGCTTATAGTGGGTACTCCATAAAAATTTTTGAATTGACTGAATGGATGGACATATGTGTAATGAAGACCTATTCATAGAACCTTCCAACATTTGCAAAGGATATGATAAGGCTCGAATCTTCCACATCTATATCAATCTACATATACAATTAGATATGGTTCTGTATACAAAGCCTCGTTCCAACTTGATGTTTGGAAATCAAATTTAGCAGACAGACTTGGTTTGCTTGGCCCTCAACAATGTTTTACAATTTCTTTTTCTTTTTTTTTTTTTCATCCTCACCTGAGGACATTTTTCCATTTTTGGTACAGATAGAGTGGGAGGGAGAGAGAGGAAGAGAGAGAGAGACAGAGAGAGAAACATCGATGTGAAAGGGACACATCGAGTGGTCGCCACCTGCACAACCAACCAGGGCCGGGGACAAACTGCAACCGAGGTACATGCCCTTAGCGGGAACCGAACCCGGGTCTCTCTGGACCGCAGGCCGACGCTCTAACCGCTAAGCCAAACCGGCCAGGGCATTTTACAATTTCTTTTAGGGAGAGCACAAACTCTCTAGTTGTGGTGTTCACACCTCTCCCCACGGTTCCTCCTGCTCCCTCCTCTAACCTGACTCACATTTATGCTGCACACCTGTGTTCAGGGAACATTTGTGTTTGTTCCTCACAGTGTAGAGTCTTTAAGTCTCCCCAGGTGACCTCATGTTTGATATCAAACCACAATCTAAAATATAAACCCGTACATCCCATCTGAGTGGAAGGTGGCGGTGATCATGATGATGATGTTATGTCTAGAAGTTGTATAGCAAGTTAAACTCTTTTTCCAAAGTCCTTTCTATCCACTATACCCACTTTAGCCACATAAGAAGGTAGTAGGTATTACAGCTGTGTTTTAAAGAAACAAAGGCCTAGGAAACATTGTGAAACTTTCCTGTGGTCTCACAGGAGTTTGGAGCTACTGGGATGGAGCCGGGGGCCGAGCCTCTTTCTCCCGGTCAGCACTGTGTCCTTCATGATAGCAAAGTCCACAGGATGCTGTCACTTTGCATCACTTCAGGGTGTGGCATTGTGGAGAAAATGAGGTCCACCAAAACCTCTCTGAGGCTTTATGACAAAGCCAGTTGCCAAAATGGTACTTCAGGCCAGGTCATCTAGATTCAGGAGTGGTCTTGTCAGCCTTCTTCCTAAGCAAGCAAAGGTCGCAATGTCCATGGCTGGATTCGTTACCTATTAGTGTGTAACAAATTACCCCCAAACTTAGTGACTTAAAAACAACAAACATGTCTTATCTCACACATTTTGTGAAGGCCAGGAATCAGGAAGCAGCTTAACTGGATGGTTACAATTCAGGGTCTCTCGTAAAGTTGCAGTCAAGATGTCAGCTGGAGCTGCAGCCTTCTGGGGCTGGAGGGTCGTCTTCCACACTCACGCACGTGACCACGGACTGGCTACCTCAGTTCCTCACCACGTGGGCCTTTCCATGAGACTGCCAAGTGTCCTCATGACATGACAGCTTCCTTCTCCCAGAGTGACAGAAAGAGTGACCAAGACAAAAGCTATAGTCTTTTAAAATGTTTTGAGAAATTTTTCAATTACAGTTGACATGTTAGTTTCAGATGTACAAGTGATTAGACATTTATATACCTTACAAAGTGATCACCCCAGTAAGTCTTATACCCATTGGACACCAAACAGTTTTTACAACATTATTGACTCTATTCCCTTGCTGTACCCTACATCCCCATGACTATTTTTATAACTGGCCATTTGTACTTCCTAATCCCTTCAATCTTTTTTCACCTAGCCCCCTCTGGGTGGCCATCAATTTGTTCTCCGAATCTATGAGTTTGTTTCTGTTCTGTTTGCTGGCTGGGTTGGGGGAGGGCTCAACAAAGGAGAGAGCTGTCCTGACCCTGCCCCTCCAGCTCTCGTCCTGCATCTAGTCAATTCAGCTTCCCCTGCACGTCCCTGCCACCTTCAAGCTGCTGCCCCTGCACTGCAGCCAAGTGAACGAGCCTGTGAGTGAATGAGTCCATGCACAGGCCCCTCAGAGGATGCCTTGGTCTCAAGTAGCCCCCTGTTTCACTCGAACACAATCTCCTCTGGCTTTCCCAGCCAGACGTTATGGGAACTTCACTTGCCAGCACTGGAACCCTGGGCTGGGGAGCCCGTGCTCCTCAGGGAGGATCTCTGTAGCTGAGGTACGCCTCCTCCCTCCCAATTCTTTTTTATTTATTTTTTTAATCCTCACCCGAGGAAATTTTTTTTTTTTTTTTACATTTATCATCAGATAGAGTGGGAGGAAGGAAGGGGGGGGGAGAGAGAGAGAAACATCGATGTAATAGAACCACATCGACTGGTTGCCTCTGGCATGACCCTACCAGGGCCAAGCATGAACTGCAACCGAGGTACGTGCCCTTGACCGGAATCGAACCCATGACTCTTTGGTCCGCAGGCCGATGCTGTAACTGCTGAGCCAAACTGGCCAGGGCCCAATTCTTTTTTATTTATTGAATGTATTGGGGTTATACTGGTTAATAACATTATATAGTTTTAAGGTGTACAATTCTAAAATACACACTCTGTATATTGTATTGTGTGTTCACCACCCCAAGTCACACCATGGGTATGGGACCTGCCAATTCAGCGTCTCCACCCCTCCTACCAGTCTGAATGTGGCTCCTTAGTCATAGGACTTCTGTTCAGCTAGTCTTCAGGTGGTTCTCAGAGATGCTTGTTCTATAATTTAGTTGTAAGTCTGATGTGGTCATGGGAGGAGGCGAGCACAGCATTTACCTACTCTGCCACCTTGACTGGAAGTCCAAAAGCTATATAGTGTTTTATGATCTAATAACAGAAGGTGAGAAACCATCATTCCTGCCATATTCTATTGGTCACACTGACTAATCACGGTATATTTTGGGAGGACAATACACAAGGATGTG